GAATAGCGTCTGAGCGAAGGAGACGGTTGACAAATGAAGAAGAAGACATAAGTGTTGATGTAGATGAGGCGACGAAAAACATAGTGCAGAAAGTAAGACACATTAAATTTGTTAACGAGGTTCGTTTCCTACATCCCCGGGACCCAGTCCAGATTTTATTGACTTAGAACAAGGAGCAACCTACAATTGCTATATGGTACAACACACACACTAGTGTTTACCACTCTTTTCTAAGAAGCAATCTACAAAGATTAGGTATCAGCACTCATGCATACAACACCATCTGGGCGCGCCAGAGCACACTGTCTTCACAGTTGCAATCTTCACAAACCTCTTCAATAAAACCGCCTTTGCTAAACTCCCCCTGAGTCTAGGCTTCAATCTTCCACATCTCGTAAGTACTTCACCAAGTACGTCAGCCCCCAACGCACACCAGTGACACCAAATGCTTGATCACCTAAGCACACACAATGCTCACCACGAGCTACACACGATGGCTAACTCCACCATACCAAATGTCACCACGAACGCTACCAAACTAAGTCCACATCAGACTCCATCACGAACTGCTTCAGAATGTCCTTCGGCACCAAGCAACAACACAACCCAATATACAGTGAAACCCCTCTCTCTCTTTTCTGTGAGGTCTGCTTTCTCATAAGGCACGTCTTGCTTAATATATAAGATCAGAACTTGTTCTCCAAGTCTTGAACTTGCTCTTGAAATCTTCCAAATATACTTAATGAAACTTTCCATATCTTTAATGGAAAACTTCATCTTCAAGCAAACTTCCTTTTGCTTTATAGAAAACGTCCATATGTCTTCAAACACTTATCTTCTTTCCTTTTCCAATCCCAGCAAGCCCACGCTCATCAAGAAACACGAACTCCAGCATAGCTCATCTTCATGACATACACATGTAATACCTCCTGTAGTACTTCACGAACTGACACATAACATCTCTGAAAACTGCATCTTCAATAAGAAGAGGTGAGATTTGGGATTCACCATTGAAAGATGGTGAAAAGGGAAGTAGCGTGGTCTTGTTTGAACTGAGTTACGTCTAGATGACATACGGTGGTTGGTATTAAATTATTAATTAAGGTGAAAAGTCACGTGTGCAATGTTCCCATTTATAAAATAAAATAAAACAAAAGTCGTTAGTCTGTTAGAAGTAGAATTATTTGTTTAATTAGCATAAAATTTCATTTATATATTTTTTAAAATACTAAATTCTACGTTTTGGTATTCGAATCTTCGGGTCAAATTTGAGTTAATTCCTTTTGAATCCGGATCTTAGATATTTACATCCAACTATGTGTTTTAAAATCTTCACTTTGAATTCAGGCCGGTTCTTTAAGGGTTTAAATTGATTCTGATCTATAATTCAAGTATCTATAAAATATTTGGGTCTGTAACTGATGCAGGTCGAGTCCAAGTATAAAAACTGGAAAAAGATTAAAAGACTCAAAATATCTATTTCATCAAAATTCAGTCTAATTTCATCATATTTATCTTATATAAAATAAAAAAACTATTATTAGTTAAATTAAATAATTTTAACTCTAAATTTGATATTTAAAATTTTATATTATTAGAAACTATTATAATAATAATAATAAATATAGCAAACAAAAGGACATTACAACCTAATCATATATTAAAAAATATAAAATAGAACACATATAGTCATTTCTTAGATATATTTCTTAGATATTAATGTGTTTGAATTAGGTAAGAATTGATTATTACCGGGTGGGTCCATTCGGATCGGTTTTTAGTGTTTGTGTCTATTTGGTTCCTTTTTGGTTCTGGTTTTTCAGGTCAAGAAATTTTAGACCCAACTAGTGCTTATAAATTTTTTTGTTCGGTTTCGAGTCATATATTTTAGATCGGTTCTGATTTGGATTTTTGGGTCCACGTAAAATGCACATACCTATTAACTTCATCTTTGGTTCACCTCCGAGTGAACATTTAAAATTTCCCAATCTATATTTTTCATCTGATTTCGTTACATATAGATGTATAAGAAGTTATGAAAATAAGATACCTAAAATCTACTTAAAATGAAGATATCTCCAAAACAAACTATATATATATATATATTATTTATTTTTGAAAAATATGACAATAAAATACTAAAGGTAAATTAGAGAGAATTTAGTTAATGAATCATCATCACTAAAACTAAATTAGGAACAAAGAGATATTTAATTCTAAACAAAAAATGATAGTCTAATATTAAAAGTAAATAAGAACGTTGAATACCAAGGCGGATCATTTGGCACGCGGTGCTAGGAAGCAACCATCATTCGTTGTTCATATGGATTAAAATCTATCAGTCTGATTTTTGCAGAGTCTTCGTAGAGTCTGCGTTTTGTTAATGACAAAAAAAGTAAATAAGAAGAGCTCCACTATTAAAAGTTCAATAAAGAGATATATAAATCTAAACAAAGATGACAATATTTTACCAAAACAAACCAAGACGGCAATACCTTTAACAACAACAAAAGAAACAAACAAATATAACAATACCATATTAGAAGTAAATAAGAGAGAACCTGTTAATGAATCATCAGCACAAAAATTGAATTCAGAACAAAGAGTATATAATTCTAAACAAAGATGGCAATACAAAATTAAAAGTAAAAAAAGAGTTACAATATTAAAATTTCAATAAAGAGAAATAATTTTAAAGAAAGATGACAATACATAGATAAGAGAAAGTAGAAGCTACATTGTAAGCAGGTTGTACCAAATGTAGCCTTTGTCAAGATTTTGTATTCGTAGAATTTTATAATTTCTCATAAAAATAGAAAATACATTCAGAATAAATGTAGCTACAATTAGTATGCGTAGACTTGGCATTCTTCATATTTAAAATTCTATTTAAAAATAGATTATTGATTCTAAGTAAAAATAACTTTTTTAAACTCAAATTCAATTTCTACCATGTCATTTTTAGTAGAAGATAACTTCTTCTTTCCGTAGAGCATAGTTTAAAATATTAATTTAACAAATTTTACAACCAAAAATACTAATTTGTGTATATGAATATTTCATCAACTGTTTTCATTTTTATATTGTTTTGATTCATAAAATTATTTATTCATTAATTTTGATAAATGGAAAGGTAATTGTGCCAAAAATAAAACAAAAAATAGTTTTGTATTAAAAGAACAAAGATGGTGAATTTTGTCTATTTTGACAAATTTCCCAAATAAATATCAACAAATAGTATATTTATAGAGATAACAACCATTAAAATCAGAAACTTTCAAATTAAAGCAAAAAAAGTTTTCCAACTTATATTTGAGAAAAGAATTCCTTAATTTTCAAATATTAGCCATTTTAACTTTCATACTTTTTTGACTCGACCATTTATATAATCTAAATATCCAATTATTAAAATTGATCAACAAATAAATGTTTATTAATTCTCTAAACGATATTGTTTTAAAAAATGATTAAACATTGATCAAATAATGTTGTTTTGGTTTTTTAAACACTTAAACCATCTATTTCGCGGAATCAGATCCCTAATTCTACAGTAAATGCTATGTACAAGAGCTGTCGTGTAAAACAGTATCACATCGTCCTCATTCGAACGTTGTCATCTCGTGCAAGATCTCAAATCTCTAATTGTCATGTCGTGGCCACTACAACTGTATATTATATTTGTTCACTTACTTATATATGCATGTCATATTTTGTTTCACGTGGGTTTAATGGTTCTCATTCTTTTTAAGTTTATTTGGCCTCTAAATTGCACGATCCTGATTCTAGTGATGATAAATAGATCTTCTTATTAAAAGAAAAAATATTAAAAAAACAAATACATTGTGAGATGTGAACTATGTAATTGACTAAACTTGGTTTCGTCACTTTTCATTAGTGCGTACGTAGTTGCATTATAAAATTAACCTCGCGCGACACGCTTAGGTTTAATAGTAGTTATTGTAACTTGTCAAAAACTATATCTGCAATATAAATACAACGAACCAGTTTACGAATTTAAGCACAAAACAGTCTTCACCTCTCTACTCTCTCTCTTCTCGATGGCGAGCAACTCTAATTTAGCGAGTGTTCTAGGGCTACTTTTTGTATGCACACTATTCCATAACCCGATCACAGTCGCCGGACAAAATATCCCGGCCGTGGCTTTGTTCACATTCGGTGACTCAAACTTCGACGCTGGAAACAAACAGACTCTCACCAAAGCCAACGTTGCGCAAGGTTTCTGGCCGTACGGAAAATCCCGAGATGACCCTAACGGCAAATTTTCAGACGGATTCATCGCTCCTGACTTTGTCGGTACGGTTAAAGTTGTTTTTTTTTCAATGAAAACGTTTAAAGTTTTTATAAACAATCTAACGTTAGTCTCTCGAATTTATACGACCATGAATGTTCCTTACCTAAAACCAATTTCCAAACTAAAAAGTAAGCATTAGTACCTTCGGAATGAAAGAACCAAACTGAATTTAAAAAAACACTTAACCGAATTGTAAATACCAAACATTTATATATTTTTACATCTGAAATACTTTGATTGTATTGACATTGAACTAAAAAACGAATGGATACTAGAAGATTCGAAATATGATTTAAATACTGAGAAATATTTGTTTTATTCAGTTTTGAA